TCCTGATAACATCATTTTTTTTGTAAGACCTTCCTAATATTCCTACAGTGAGCTTTGCAAAGTCTTTTCCTTTATGCGTACATTTTTTGGACTTTTTCTAGAACATGCACATTTGAATGTGCTTATTGGATAATTGCATCAAAAGTACAGTAAAATGTGGATATTTAAAGATAATTGCATTCTAATTTGAATAGTGATTTGAGAGTTGTGAACCCAAGTAAACGTACATTAAACAAGAAACAACATTCTGTGTGACTCTCTCTGTCTGATTGCACCATCTTTTACCAGAGGGAGCTTTTTAATTTGCAAAGACCAGACTCCTCTATAGAGCACTAAAAATCTCCACAGACCATCCTCATCCTGGTCATTCATATTTCAAATTGTTACCATCAGGGAGATGTTATAGGTGTCTTAAAATGAGGACTAATAGACTGAGAAACAGTTTCTTTTCCAAGGCAATAATTATCTTGAATCAAACAGTACATTTGTGATTTAGTCCTATGTATATAGTGGCATTTTTAAACTATCTAACTTACTATATGTTTTAGATAGGTTTTAGACTAGGTTTTTAATTATTATTTTAATTATTTTAATTTTTAAATACTCTGTAGTGTGATTGTGATGTGGTGTTTGGGACACTGCTGGAGTAGCTTTCAAATTTCATTGTATTTGTAGAATGCAATGACAATAAAGGTATTCTATTCTATTCTTAATGTAAAGGACCAAGATGAAGTGTTATGTCTGCTTATGGATGTACGAGAGAATCTTAAGAAATTGTGAATTGTGAACATTGTCTGTTTCAATAAAAGAAGTAAAACATGAAATAAACTTTTCTGTCTTGTTGCAGAACAATGTGGCAAATCAAGAGATTTCCCTATTCTGTTTCTATGGAGTTTTGGAAATTGTTTTGTTGCCAGCCATAAATTAGACCAGTCTTTCTCAACCTTTTTATTCTGGAATAACCCTTGCAATATTTTTCAGGTCTCAGGTCTCATATCACAAAAGAGAGAAACACTTTGGGAAAACAATTCGCTTTTATAAAACCTACACAATTCATGCTCTGCACCATTTACAACAATTGCAAAGTAGCAGAGCTGCAACTTAGTCACAGCATACCAAAAAAATAAATAAAAAATCTCACCACTGTAAGTAGTAGCATTGTTGCAGTGCACAATTTTTTTAAAAAATATATATATTACCGTATCTTGCCTTTCCTTTATCATGTTTTGGGGAACCATAGCTGAGAAAGTTGGTGTGATGACCCAGGGTGTGGCACAAAGGCAAACACAGTCACACAAGTAAGAAAAGTCCCTTTAATACCTCCAACTTTGCTCCCAATGTCTAGTTACCTTCGGCAGGAGAAAAAACTCTCCCAAGAACAGTCTTTAAGTGGAGGAAATTCAGTCTGAAAACGAAGTACGTATAAACTGTAAATAAAAATCCACACAAACCACACTGCAGCAATTAACTGGACAGGGCAGGATAAGGAATTGCAGACTTCAAAGGCCAACAAAACACACAGACGGGGAAGACGGGGACCACTGGTGGTCCTTGAGAAAATTTTGGTGGTCTGCAGAGAAATGTCCAGGCTGCATGGGAACACAAGTCTGTGCCACCCACATGGCCCATTGGAACACAAGGTTTGCATCACTTGCATTGCGAACAACACAAAGTAGTGAGGGGAGGGGAAAGGGGGGAGGGGGGAGGGGGGAACTTGCTCCACGTGCCTCACCTGGCCACTGGGCTGGTTCTTTCCGCTTCTTTCTTCTTCTGCTTTTGGCTGCATACAAGGAAAGCAGCAAAAGTCTTTTTTTCTCTCCCCCCAAACTACATCAGAAATGAGTCTGTGGGACCCTGCAAGGCATCCTGCTCCAAGAGGCTATGCCAGCACACGTCTCACGAAGACTAATTTCTGGCGGAGTTTGGGGGAAAGAAAGAAAGACTTCTGCTGTTTTCCTTGCATGAAGCCAAAAGTTTCTGTCTCTCTCTCCCCCACCCTGGGAACAGAGCTGGAGACGGTATCCTGTGATCTCAAATAAAGAATGATCGATCGGTAGGAAAACGGTGTGGGGAATTTCCTGCAGACTTTTTAAGGGATTTTTCCAGGGTCTCTGCTGCTTTCTGCAGAGACCCTGGGAAAACGTCAGCAAGCCACCCTCAGTCAAAATTCATATTAGAGGTCCGTGGGATTTAAAATTATGAGTTTGGTGGTCCCTGAGGTCCAAAAGGTTGGCAACCCCTGTTCTAGTTCAATCTCCTGCTTAGGCATGAAACCTTACACCACTTCAGACAAATGGTTATCCAGTCTCTTGTTTAAAATCTTCCAGCACTGGAGCATTCACAACTTCTGGAGGCAAGTTGTTCCACTGATTAATTGTTCTAACTGTCAGGAAATTCCTCCTTAGTTATAGTTTGTTTCTCTTCTTGATTATCTACCCGTTGCTTCTTGTCCTGCCCTCAGGTGCTTTGGAGAATAGCTTGATTCCCTGTTCTTTGTGGCAGCCCCTGAGATATTGGAAGACTGCTATCATGTCTCCCATAGTCCTTCTTTTCATTAAACTAGACATACCCAGTTCCTGCAACCGTTCTTCGTATCTTTTAGCCTCCAGTCCCCTAATCATCTTTGTTGCTCTTCTCTGCACTTTTTCTAGAGTCTCAACATCTTTTTTACATCGTGGCGACCAAAACTGGATTCAGTATTTCAAGTGTAGTCTTACCAAGGCATTATAAAGTGGTATTAACACTTCATGTGATCTTGATTCTATCCCTCTGTTTAATGCAGCCTATGACTGTGTTGGCTTTTTTGGCAGCTGCTGCACACTGCTGGCTCATATTTAAATGGTTGTCCACTAGGAGTCTGCGATCCCTCTCACAGTTACTACTATTGAGCGAGGTACCACATATACTGTACCTGTGCATTTGCGTTAGAGGTTTGGAATCCTTGGTTCAGTTACAGGTGTATTTTTCTGTATAATCTGTGGCTGAAAACCTTTCTTTCCTTGATAGATTTCATTATAAAGTCAGTTGAATACCATTTTACTTCATATTATTCGATGTAAGGAATGTAAAAACTCTTCATATATCTGACATCTCTTTTCATTAAATAAGTCAGTTTCAGCCTCCTCTTTTGGGATCCTGTCTTGATACCACAAAGCAAATATAAATGCATCCTTTGTGGCTGTTGTGAAAGGATGAGAAAATAGGCAAAGCTTGATTGGGTGTAATTCATTGGCTAGTAATGGTCCTATTACAGTAATTACAATTTTGTCATTGTGGCTCTGCAGTGTTTAAAGAACCTGGCCTGTGGCTTAATTGCAGATTTATAGCAACCAATGCTTTGGGGAATACTGTTGTCTGTAATCATGTTTTGGCAGCTAACAGTTTAAATAAAAGAAGTTTCTTAGCAATTGTGGTGTAATTGAGAAGCACAACCACTGTCATATGATCAGAATTTGAAGCAAAATAAGGATAAGCTCAATGTAACATAAATGTAGATGTATAGCCTGGTGTGTATGACAGTTTTTAGACTGCATAGTCTCAGCCTATGCAAATTCTGTCCAAAATCCACCCCTTGCTTATCAATGGAGACCCAGTGGAACAAGTTTTAAATTTCTGGGTGTTATCATAAAAAGAGGACCTGACCTGGGGTGCTCACATTGCAGCACTGGTCAAAAGGGCCCAGCAGAGATTATATTATCAGAGTCTTATCAGGAAACAACAACTTATTGCACCTGTGTATGCTTTGCCATTTGCACAGTGGCAGATAGGAAAGCACTCCAGAGGGTTAACATCATTGCCCAGAGGATCATTGGTTGCCCTCTCCCCTCTTTGGAAGAGCTTTATAGCTCCCGCTGCCTTAAGAAAGCTCAAAACATCCTTAAAGATCCATCTCATCCTGGGCATTCTTTGTTTGAACTATTACCATCTGGCAGACGGTACAGGATAATAAAAACAAGGACAAATAGGCTAAAAACAGCTTCTATCCCAGGGCAGTAACTATATTGAACTCTACTGTATAGTGCAATATTAATGCAATATCAGGACTTTTCAATTCAATTATATAGAAAGTGAAGGATGTGTGTTTGTGTTTTTATTTTTATAGTTATAATGTACACTGTAGATGGCATTTTATTTTATTGTATGAGGTGCAATGGCAATAAACTAAACTAAACTAAACTGTCACATCAGACAAAGGAAAATAAAAACAGACAAATAGACAAAATAACTGTTAAGGTACTTCATTCACTAGACTGGGAAGATCTAGCATCAAGTATTCATTGACTCCAGAGCCTCCTAAACCAAGTAACTATAAAAGTGGATAATTTCATCTAGATTCAGATATAAAATATAATTAAAGAACCCATCATAACTAGATGAATTAACAACTTTATTGGAACAATTAAGCCACTGCATATCTACCATGTACTTAACAATAACTCTTGTCTTTGAGTCGCCTGACAAAGGGGGAAAGTTAGCATTGGAACAGAATTCTAAAAATTGTTGCTTTTTAAGTGTTATTAAATATCACTCAAATGAATAGGTTAGAGTTCTTTTTATTTATCATCCTTCCCTGACAAGCCTGTCGTTTGAACTTAGAGGAAGGCCAGATGCTAACAGTAGAGAACATATAAAAAGCTATCAGAGCATGTTAAGAGTTCCCCAGTGTATGGGGAAACAATGACATTTCATCTTCTTCTTAGTCATCCATTTATTAGTTCTTCACCATGTTTGCGTGTTGTTGCTGCACTGTATAATGTCAGATGACTGATAAAGAATCAAATATTAGTATGTTCCTTCCTGTATTTTTAAGGATCGAGGTGACATAACTTAATTAAAATGGTTAATCTACCACTGGATAGATAACCTGTTTTGTCCCACACTCACAATATTGTTTGAAGTCCTTTAGGGGACATATGAGATGCTAATTTGAAAGCAACATCCAGAAACAGGAGGCATTGCATTGTTGGAATGTTGGCAACTAAACTCTTGCTGTTTTGTAGTTTGCTGGGAAGATTCTCATCAGTCAATTGTATCCTGTGCTGCCACGTTACTTACTCCTGTTGAATCAGCTGAAAACAAGAAAAAGGAACTTCCCCAAATGCCTGAAGTGACTAAACAGTGAGTAAACAATATAACTTTGCAATTTTAATAGAACTCAACCAATGTGAATTAACTTCTGTATGTCTTTCATTTTTGATATGCTATATAATAAGTTTCTGACAATAGTTCCAATCCCCTTTTCCACTTAAAGGATGTTTCCAAAAAAGGGTCTCAAGAAATACCCATGTCAACTCATAAAATATTTTTATGGTCTTTTTAGAGTTCCCAACAGAAAGGGAGGGGGGAGCAGTACGGCAGCTTGCAAACCGAAAATGCATTCCATAAATGTTTTCAAAGATAGTAACTAGGTGACTGAAGTTTCTGTTGCGCAAAATTCTAACTGGAGAACATGATTGATGACTCTTGGCTATGGATGTGTCCCACTGGAGAATATGAATTACGATACATCCAAGGGGTGGGGGAAAACCAGGGTCAAGGGTGACAATGAATTATGTGTCTCAGAGTCCGCTACACCCAGGAAGTGCTGGACATTTTAACTCCCAATAAATCCTTTTGAAGTTTTGGAAGTTTGGCTTGAGACTCATGATTTAATTGCAGGGTAACTGCTGGAATCCTGACAACCCATCTAATTGCTAGAATAAATTGTTCTTGGTAAATGTTGATCTGAGTGTAAATTATTGTTGACTAATGAGTGATTGGAAGATTAAATGGGGTTTTGCGTTTGTGGGATTTCCACAGTAGTAATGGAATGAATAGATTAACATACACAGTACAATATACAGTATATTCATTATATTGTTTAATAGTATTTTGGTTTTCACATTTTCATCAGAACACTGAAGTTGTCTAGGTCTAATTTGGTAGAAGTGTGCCATTTTGGTGGCAAAATGCCAGAAACTGGCAAAAATCATTGTGGTCAGGTGACTAGAGAATGGCGCTGACCCACCTGATATGCAGTTATGTGACCATGGGGTGATCTGATGTGACCATTTGTGATGCTTGGCTTTATGGGCTGTTCTATGCTTGTTGTAACTAAACAGTCATAAAATCAACACGAAATGAAAACTACCTATAGCCATATAATATTCTAAGCAGTATAACTGTAATAGCAACGGCAATAGCACTTAGACCTATATACCGCTTTATAGTGTTTTGCAGCCCTCTCTAAGTGCTTTACAGAGTCAGCCTATTTCCCCCAGCAACCTGGGTCCTCATTTTATCCACTTCGGAAGGACAGAAGGCTGAGTCAACCTTGAACCAGTCAGGATCGAACTGTTGGCAGTTTGGGCAAGTTAGTCTGCAATTCTGTATTCTAACCATGGAAAAGGAATGAAGGAATTAAGATAGCAATAGCATTTAGACTTTTATACCACTTTCCAGGATTTTCCAGCCCTCTCTAAGCGGTTTACAGAGTCAGCATATTGCCCCCAACAGTCTGGATCCTCATTTTACCCACCTTGGAAGGATGGAAGGCTGAGTCAACCTTGAGCCTGGTGGAATTCAATCAGCCAAATTGCAGGCAGCCCGGCAGGTAGCAGAAGTAGCTTGCAGTACAGCACTCTAACCACTGCGCCACCGAGGTTCCTTCACTCTTATAAGTGAAAGGCTATATGATTGGATTGGATTAGATCGGGTATCAAACTGGGGGCCTGGGGGCTGGATGCGCAGGCCATGTCCACTCCGCCTCCACAAATAGGAAAAATGCCGTGAAATGTCACATGATGGCAACGTGATGCCACGAGTTTTACACCCATGGATTAGATTGATGCAATGTGCTACCCTGGGTAGCTGATAACAGGAATAGATGCAATTAAAAGGAAATGTTACATATATCACAGACATTGTTTGGATTTTATACCTTAGGTATTAAGCTATCTGAAATTTTCTGAAATTCAAGACCTTAGAGCTTAATCAGTTGATTTTGATATTGGTAAGAAGTTGAATTGGTGACAAGTACAAATCTTGGCTTAAAGTCTATACCAACCTATCATATGTAAACAGAGTTGAAAAACGATGACTCTTGAAATGTTGTTAACCTAGAGTTTCCATGGTCGCTCACCATTAGCCCTCATAGTTACAGAGGTTGGAGGTTCTAGTTTAATAATATTTGGGACCAATGCATTTTTCATAACTGGTATTTATTTTTGATTTTGTCTCATCTTCAGTTTTTTTAACATCTGTGATGTCTCTTGGTTGATAATCTAGAGAGAAGCAAAGTTATCCATAATGAAGCAAAAAACCTACAAAAATCATATTTTAAATGTAATTTAAAAATGTAAATGTTGTTAATGCAAAACAGATTGTATTTCTTGTTTCCAACTACCTTTACTCCCTTCATACCATGTCAATGCCTAGGGTATTTTTAAGCAATTTTATAAGCAGGTTCAGAGGAAAATGAGATAGAAAACCAATAAAGTAGAAATTTCCAGTACTTCAAGTCTTTATTACGTTTTTTGCACATAACTCTTCCTGCTATATGACATTTGTTGGGAACCAATTTACTGTTAAGATTCATAGAAATAAAACATTTAAAAAAAAACTGCACTGGCATTTGGGGGCATACATTCCAGGATGACATGATACTGCTAAAGAGTTGGTTCAGTGCAGGATGCAGATGCTAAAACATTGCAAGGATTCAGAAGCGAAAAGTTTCCTTTAAGAGATAGGAGGGGCTGAATGTAATCTTTTTCCTAATTTGGGAGAAGGTGTTAAAAGGCAAATGGGGGGGGGGGGGGTGCGTGTGTAGAGGAACGTAAGACTTTGCTAAGATTACTGCAGCCTAGCACATCCTTTTTGCCCCTTGAAGCACCTCAAAAAATATCCTAATTTGGGCTTGTCCAGATCACTTTCCATTCTGTGGTCTTTGGAAATTATACACACACAGAGAGACACACACAGAACTTTGTAGAACTTTGAAAATTGTTTATCCCAATCTTGTATCACATTTATGTAGAAGCATGTAGCAAATGAAATATTAATATTATTACCAGAAAGTAATTTTCACTCTCAAGTACTATGGTGCAATTATTTTCTTTATAGAGAAGATCAGGTTCTGTTTGTTTGCCATGGAACTTTAAAAATAAGGAAATTGTTATAAATAAAAAGTTGTTAAGCTATGTAACATTATATGTATAATACAGAGCAAATAAAATTAGAATTGTTAGATGCAGAGTATTTAAAGCTCACTGTTTGGATGAATTAATCTGTTAGGTTTTTGTTGTTGTTGTTCTCTTGCGTATTTAAATCTTTCTTTTCTCCCTGGATCATGACGGAATTTAAAAATGTGAATTAAAAAAAAACACCTCATCAGGTTGGATAATTTTGTTGCTTAATCTTGTTGCCAGCTCAGTCTTTAGACCAGGGCTGAGTAACTTGCAGCCCGTGGGCTGGATGCGTCACATGCTGGTCAGGTCCATGCCTGATTTAGCAAAGGAGAAAAAAGTCCTGATATGTCATGTGATAATGCTGTGACAATGTGAGTTTAACACCCGTGCTTTAGAACCTACAGAAGAGATGAGTCAATCACTTCCATGAGCTTTGTGCTACAACAGCGAGTGAATTTGAGCCTTTATCTAACCAGGGGTGGGATTCTACCTGGTCGGTCTGGTTCTATAGAATGGTCTGGACAAGCCCGTTGTTATGATTCTGCCCAGTTCAGAGAACCGACAAATTGCACCACTGGCTGGCCTCGCCCCTCCCCATCCTGTCCACTCACTCCTTACTTGGCACGCACACCATCAAACTTGCCTGGGTTTGGTAAGTTGCTATTTTCCCTTTTTGTTCTCCCGACTATCAGCTGTTCTGCTGTGCCAGAAGATTTAGATTAGCTAGAAAGCAGGAAACCTTTGGATTCCTCGCTTTCTAACTAATATAAAAGCAGAGCTGAAGCTTCTATGTTTCAGTGCAGGACTGAAGCTTCTATGTTTCAGTGCAGACTCAAGTAGCAGATTGCAGAATCATAGATCACTAAGTGAATCTGTGATTCTGTTAGCAACTTAATCTGCCTACCTGCTTTCCCTGATTTTGGGTAAAAGTTGCTCCTTTTTTATAAAAATATATATATCAATATTTACATACATGGTGGGTTATGAGTTAATTTTGTGAATTTGCTTGCTAGGAAATTTCATGAGTTTGCTTGCAAGCAAATTTTATGTGACAGACTCAGGTAGCAGATTGCAGAATCATAGATCTCTAAGTGAATCTGTGATTCTGTGAGCAACTCAATCTGCTTGCCTGCTTTGCCTGATTTTGGGTAAAAGTTGCTCTTTTTTTATAAAAAATTCAATATTTACATAAATATTTATAATATTTACATACAAACCATGCCCAGTCAGTCACATGACCACCAAGTCATGCCCAGTCAGCAAGCCACACCCACCCAGTCACATGACCACCACCAAGCCACACCCAAAGAACCGGTTGTTAAGAAATTTGAATCCCACCACTGCATCTAACTGTCTACTCATCACTGCTTGAGGCCTTTGAAACCATTGCAAGATAAAACATGCTAAAGTTTTCAGGGTGTTGGGGAATAGAATTTGATTCCTGCTGAATAGCAATAGCACTTACTATTGTACAATAATACTATACTGTTTCATAGTACTTTTACATATCTTTTTAAGCAGATTACAGAGCATATTTCTCCCAACAATCTAGGTAGCTGGGTCTTCATTTTACCAACCTTGGAAGGATGGCGGGCTGAGTCAACCTTGAGCCCATCAAGATCAAACTCCTAGCAATTGGCAGAGTCAGCCAGCAGTACTGCATTCTAACTACTGCACCATCTTGGAATTAAATTCTGAATAGTGGATTCCTGTGCTGGCATCCTAACTCACTTACGTTAACTATTTCTTACAGAGGTCCAAAGAGTTTGGGCTGATTTACAACAATTAATATCTTTCAAAAAGCTTCCAAGCCTACCAGATTAATTTCCAGCCAGTTTGCTTATTAAATATTATAAGTAAACTACAGTATATGCCAGACACATTTATGATTAATTTGTCAGCTGAAGGAAAAGTGCTAGCTGGCAACTTTTGACAAAACTATCCACTTAAATC